CCTGCTGCTGCTGCTGCTGCTGCTGCTGCTGTTGCTGCTGTTGGCTTATCCCTTGTGCTGCTGTTTCTGTTGCTGGTTGTTTGATCCTCCTGCTGTTGTTGCTTCTGCTGCTGCTGCTCCTGCTTCTGCTGCTGCTGCTCATTCTGCTGCTGCTGCTGTTTATGTCCCTTCAACATTGCTGCTGCTGCTGCTGCTGCTGCTGTTCTTCACCCCTGCTGCTGCTGCTGCTGCTGCATCTGCTGCTGCTCAATAACCCTGGTGTTTCTGCTTCTGCTGATTCTGTATAGCCCTGCTTCCGCTCCTGCTCCTGCTGCTGCTTCTGCTGCTGCTGCTGCTGCTGCTGCTGCTGCTGCTGCTGCTGCTCAGGGTCGAAGCTTGTGGCGTACAGGGGACGGGTTGGAGTGTGTGATGGATTTTGTTGTTAGCGGGCTCTTCCTTGGCGACAGCAGACGTGCTGCTGCTGCTCTGCTGCAGCGGCCTGTGCTGCAGCTGCTGCTGCATTGCTTCCTGCAGCCGCTTGCTGCTGCAGCAGATGATGAGGTTACTCAGGTGTCTCTGCAGCTGCAGCACGAAATACTTACTCTTGCTTTTGGGGGGGGCCCCCAGGGGCCCCCTGATTTGTGGTCTGTATTGGTTCAGCATCAGCTCGGTACCCGCAGCAGCAGCAGCAGCAACACTGCAGCAGCAGCAGCAGCAGCAGCAGCAGCAGGAGCACGTGTTAAGCTATCAGAGGCCCCGCTTGTGATAGAAGCTTTGCTGCTGATCTCGCTGCTGTGCCGCATGCATCCTGCAGCAGCTGGGGTGTATGTGGATGCGTTGGTGCTGCTGATGGAGGTGTATGGAGTACAACAGCAGCAGCAGCAGCAGCAGCAGCAGCAGCAGCAGCAGCGGGGCATGCTGCAAGCAGCAGCAAACGCTGTCGGCGTGCTGCTCGATATACACCCCCCACTAGAAATAGCTATATTAAACTGCTGCAGTACCCTTTGCTGCTGGGGGGGCCCCCTCGTGGCCCGCAGGCTCAGCAGCAGCTTGATGGGGGGGGGCCCCCTGCAGCTGAGTAAGCTGCTGCTGCTGCTGCTGCACCAGCTCGAAGCAGCAGTACGGGGCCAGTACACAGCATTGCCGCAGCAGCAGCAGATGCTGTATGATGATACTCACGTTGCTGCTGCTGCAGCAAGAACAGCAGCAGCAGCAGCAGCAGGAGCAGCAGCAGCAGGAGGTCTAGGAGGAGACGGTCTCCTTGCCCCCTGGCCAACCACAGCAGCAGCAGCAGCAGCAGCAGCAGCAGCAGCAGCAGATGAAGTACCTATACTAGAAGCTGGTGGGGCCTATCCACGGGGCCTTCTTGCTGCTTTTGATGCTGCACTGTCTGTGCTAGCTAGCTGCAGCAGCAGCTGGTTGCTGCTGACGCTGCCCGTGTCTCCTCCTCTGCTGCCTGAGTCTCTATCCTACAGCAGCAGCAGCAGCAGCAGCAGCAGCAGCAGCAGCAGCAGCAGGGGGCCCCGGCCCCGCCACGCTTTAGACGTTGTCTATGCTGTGCTGCACCTTGCTTCTCCCTCTCCCTTCATTCTGCTGCACTCAATAAAGGCTGCTGCTCTCTATCTGCTGCTGCAGCGGAGCCCTATAAACCCAGCGAATGCTTTCGCTGTGCTGCTGCAGCTGGGGGGTTTAATAGATATATTACGTATAGATTTTGCTGCTGCTGCTGCTGCAGCAGATGGAGCCAGACTCATCATCACCTTCTTTACTTGTGTTGCGCTGCTGCTGCAGCGGATAGGCATAAGGAGAAGGTTTGACGCTTCGTTGCTGCGGTTTTGCTTCGCTCTGGAGCAGCAGCAGCAGCAGCAGCAGCAGCAGCAGCAGCAGCAGCTTATACAGCGCTTTGGAGACCCCACAAGTCCTGCGCTAGATGCTGCAGCTGCAGCAGCAGGAACGCCAGCTGCAGCAGCAGCAGCAGCAGGTACTGCTGCTGCAGACAGCAGTGCTGCTGCTGCTTCTGCTGCTGCAGCACATGCAGCAATGCTCAAGCTATGTGCCTTCACCTTTGAGGTGTATGTGCAGGTATTTGGTCCTG